GAAATTTTGGACTTCTATTGAATCCTCTTGTATCTTGCTCATGGTAAATATTATAAATTTTATTAATATAATTTTATAATCTTATCTAAATCAATCTCAAAAATTTATTTGTTGTTTAAAGAAAAAAAAAAGAAAGATAAGTGAAGTTGCTTGAGTGAAAACTTAGATCAAAATTCATTCTACAAAGTAATTTAAACAACTAATTTTTACTCCAAAATAAAAAAAAGATGAGTGATGAACCAATTTTTAACCTCATACGTTCAATGTCATGAAAAGATTCAAAACTAAAATTGATTTGGTAAAAATTAAATTATTAAAGATGTGATCTAGCGTGATAGTAAGTGTTATTTGGATCCAATATTATGACAGTGGATTTAAGCACCTGAACTTTGTTGTGAGTACATAATTTGATCCAATGCTCCTGAACTTTGGATTAAATTATAATTAGGAGGGACCAAGCCATATGCTTCAAAAATTAATAATAAAATTTTAGTTATTTCATTTACATTGAAGAGTACATAAGTTATACTAAAAAATACATTTTTAGAAACATAAAAATGAAAATTTTCAATCAATGTTAGTTAGATGGACACTACAAAAATAATAATTATGTTTTGAACCCTTGCGTGCATCAATATTTTATTCTCATGTCTCAAGAATAATTTTATTATTATATAAAATAAAATAAATTATAGGGGCAACAAAAAAATAAAAAAAATAATTTGGGGTGAGTTAAACAAGGAAATCAGGTTTCTCTATGGAGGTAATTCCCTCTCCATATGGTCTGGAGATGTGCATGCTGGTTATTCGGTCGGTCATCTGATTCCTGTAGGATGCCAATCATCCAAGCGGATGCTTTTTGACATACCGGTAAATAAGGGTGACAGCCGCGATTGATAAGAATAACTCCGATTGTCCGAGAAGTCATCTGGCCAAACGCCCGTCTTATGTGGTTCAAATGTGCTATCTCAATAGCAAGATGCCTCATCAATGAGATGGCATCATCTCCTTACATCTCCAGACCATATAGAGAGGGAGATATCTCCATAGAAGATCTTGTTCCATATAAAGTTTAATATTATTTATCATTTCATCTAGCATCATTGTATTAATTTTATATTATGACAAACTAACATTTTATGCACGAATATAATTATCATACTGATATTTAAATTTTAACAGTATTAAAAATTTATTAACATAAAATAAATTTTTTGAAACGGCAACTTTTATGGGAAATAGGATGAATTACTAATTAGGCGACTTCATGGTATAATTTTTTAAATATTAAAATATTAATTTGGTGACGAGCTGGCTTTTAATCTGGTGGAAAAAAGTTAAATTATATTATCAAGAAAAAAAATTAAAAACTGTAAAACCAGCATATAAAATATAAATTAACCGTTGTACGTTAGTGGTTAAAAAAACACAAAGCTTGTCATAACCTTAAATATTCTGTCGGTAACAAACGGTCACACTCTCATGCACTAACAAAGACACACAAACAACAAAACAACAACGAAATCAACACTACCACACAACTTTTTTAGGACTCCTTTGACCTCATTTATGCAATTTAGGGTAGTTGTTAACCCACTTGAATTTTCCTCTACTTTCTCTCTATCCAAACAGAGACTTTCCCAGTTATTACCTTGAACAATTTGCAACATTTTATAATAACTCTTGCATTAGTAATACCAAGGTATTAGTAATACCCTCCCTATCTCTCAAAACAAACAAGGTATTAGTAATACCAAGGTATTAGTAATACCCTCCCTATCTCTCAAAACAAACAAGGTATTAGTAATACCAAGGTATTAGTAATACCCTCCCTATCTCTCAAAACAAACAAGGTATTAGTAATACCAAGGTATTAGTAATACCCTCCCTATCTCTCAAAACAAACAAGGTATTAGTAATACCAAGGTATTAGTAATACCCTCCCTATCTCTCAAAACAAACAAGGTATTAGTAATACCAAGGTATTAGTAATACCCTCCCTATCTCTCAAAACAAACAAGGTATTAGTAATACCAAGGTATTAGTAATACCCTCCCTATCTCTCAAAACAAACAAGGTATTAGTAATACCAAGGTATTAGTAATACCCTCCCTATCTCTCAAAACAAACAAGGTATTAGTAATACCAAGGTATTAGTAATACCCTCCCTATCTCTCAAAACAAACAAGGTATTAGTAATACCAAGGTATTAGTAGTACCCTCCCTATCTCTCAAAACAAACAAGGTATTAGTAATACCAAGGTATTAGTAGTACCCTCCCTATCTCTCAAAACAAACAAGGTATTAGTAATACCAAGGTATTAGTAGTACCCTCCCTATCTCTCAAAACAAACAAGGTATTAGTAATACCAAGGTATTAGTAGTACCCTCCCTATCTCTCAAAACAAACAAGGTATTAGTAATACCAAGGTATTAGTTAGTCCCAAGGTATTAATAGTCCCTAGGCTATCTCTCAAAACAAACACCCCATATACTAATCCCAAGGTACTAGTAATCCTAATCCCTTTGCTATAACCCAAAACAAACGGGGCCATGGAGTACAAGTGTGTCTGTGGTGAGACGAAAACCATATGTTAATAATTTTTTTCTCCATCTCATGTAGTTCTCTCTTCCAAATATTATGTATTTAGTATAAGTGTACAAAATGATGATGTACCTTCCTGACATATATACCGAGTCCACATCTATACAAATCACATGAATATTATTAAAAAAAATGTATACCACTATGGTATGCGTATACCCATTACACAAAGTCATCTCATTTCTAATAGCACACGTACGTGTCATACAGTTTTTTGTACACATTGAGAATAGTTGTTGAAGGTGTGGGTTGAGTAAAAAATTGAAAAAAAACATATTAATAAAAAAGGATCAAGTGAATGTAAGTTGTAATATGGCCAGCAAATTACATACTACCACGTGTAAAAGTAATATTTTTAAATTTTTCTTAGTCAAGTTAGGATTAATTGATTGGGATGTATTCAGAATTATCCACGCGATAATATTTGGAGGATAAAATTTATAGGTTTCGAGTTTGAGTCGTACCTTAGGGCCACTAGATTTTTGTCCGGTCGTTACTTTCAAGGCTCCAAGATTAGTTGAGATGCACAAAAACTAACCTGGACACTAAAATATCAAAAAAAATTGTGCTCCGTCCTGCAATTCAAAAATATCTAATGCTTACAGCTACTACCAACTATTGATGATTGTGAAGTCGGCTGCTCATTGTACTTTCAGTTCAAATTTGTCAATTTAAAAGCGTCATTCGGATATTTGAACAATCCTAACTGGAAATATAGCATTGGCGATGAGTGAGGATATGAAGTCATAGTGTTGGCAAAAAAGAGATTGAAGTGTCACGGGAGTGGAAAGAGGGTGTGGGGAGAGGGCGTCGTGGTGGTTGAGGGCTTGAGAGTATCGTGATGATAGGAGTGAGTGGTGGTAACAATGGCGAAAGAGGATGGGGTTGGGGTGGCAATAAGAGGTGGTGATTGTAATGTCAGAGGTGGTTTAAATAATTGTGGGAATAAAATTTGAAAGGTTAAAAGGGAGAGAGAAAGATGAGTACGGTGTGATTAGAGAATAAAATGAAAATTTTAATCACTTTGAGTGAGGCCTTGTTTGGAATATATTTTTTTTAAGTAATTTCTTAATTTTTTGGTTAAAATATGATGTAAAAAAATTAGTATGTTTAGGATGATTTTTTAATTTTTTATGAAAAAATGGGCAAAAAGTAGACAGAAACAAGAATCATTGACTTTTTTATATAGATTATTGGTTTTTTTAATTTTTTTTAGTGACTTTTTAATTTTTAAACTAAAAAATGATATTGCCAAACAAGATCTAAGGATAATAAGAAAGTTGATGCAAAGAGGTGAAATTGGTGTAAATAGAAGCTTTCGTCAGAAATCTTTAACTCTATTCTCATTTCAAAAAAAAAAAAAATATCACTTTGCTTGTTTTTTGTTTTCTAAAAACACTTTTTAAAAAAATTTACTTTTTTATTTTTCGTATTTTTTTGTTTTTATTGAATTTTTAAAAATATTTTAAGTATATTTTTTTTAATTTTTAGATACACCTAACATAAATACACATAAAAAGTATAATTTTGAAAATACTAAAAATATATATATAAAAAAATGAGTTCAATATATTTTTCATATTTTCAGTAATGCTACTTTGCTGAGGTGAGTAAGGAGCGGTAGTTTAATGAATTATTTCATGTTGTTTACAAAATTCACCAAAAGGTATTTCATATTCACCACTTCTATCACTTTCTAGAATTTTATTTTTTTTACCAAGTTGATTTTAAACTTCATTCTTATATTAAATAAAAGGTTCTAAAACTTTATCCTTGGTTCTAATTCATAGTAACATTTGTGATTTTACATCGAAGACAATAAAATTCTCTTTAAGTCTGCATTGAGTCTTGCATAATTTTCATCATTTCATTTATGTGGAGAATTGTTAGAAAAATGGTTTGAAAACCATTAATAGATGAATGAGAAATTGACTCCAAAATGCACCAAGAAAATTTATTTAATTTAAGTTTAAATAAATTTATTATTTATTTGAGTCAAAATTGAACCGAATTCGATATTGGATTCAAACTCGCCTGGCCGAGATCAACCGTATACTATATTGTTAAGTCCATCTGAAAGCAAAATAAAAAATTCAAAATCTACTCACTTGACCTGAATATTATTTAATATATATATATATATTTTTAATTTTTTATAAATAAATAAATAAATAATATGATACAAATAAATATAGACATCGAACCAACTCTAACCTTAACAATTAAAATTATGAACATTTCCAATCTTGATTCACAATTTCTCCAAAAAAATTTACCACTCCGAAACTTTACAGAGCAGGATCAAACGCGTCAAGGTGAAAAGAAAGTGGCTTCCAACCAACACTTGTCTCTTTCTCTCTCATCTTCCTTCTTCTTTATATGTGTCCCTCTACACACTCTCCCTCGTCAGGGCTCAAACGTACACCAATAGTACGTAAAACACCCTCAACTCTCAGTTCTCTCTCTCTCTCTCTCTCTCTCTAAATTACTACATCATACTCTGATCTAATGGCGTCTCCTCCAGACACCAGCAAGACCTCAAAGCTCGAACGCTACAACAGCTACATGAGAAGAGTAAACAGCACAAAGCTCTTAGCAGCTTCCTCTAAACTCCTCTTCCGAGTCACTCTCTTAGTAGCTCTCGTCCTCATCTTCTTCTTCACCTTGAATTACCCTCCCCTTTCCGATCACAATCACCACATCCACACCACCCACACCTTCCCCTCCTCCACCTTCTACGGCGGCGGCCCCTCCTGGGAAAAGCAAGTCCGCCACTCCGCCACCCCCCGCCGCCCCCACGGCTTCTCCGTTCTAGTCACCGGCGCCGCCGGTTTCGTCGGTACCCACTGCTCTCTCGCGTTGAAAAAACGCGGCGATGGAGTTCTCGGCCTCGATAATTTCAATTCGTATTACGACCCGTCTCTGAAACGAGCGAGACAACAGCTTTTAACGAAGCACGAGATCTTCATCGTTGAAGGAGATCTAAACGATGCCGAATTGCTTTCCAAGCTCTTCGACATTGTTCCACTTACTCACATCCTTCATCTCGCGGCTCAAGCCGGCGTGCGCTACGCCATGCAGAATCCCCAATCCTATGTCAGCTCCAACATTGCCGGTTTCGTTAACCTCCTGGAAGTGGCTAAAGCCGCCGACCCTCAACCCTCGATTGTCTGGGCTTCATCAAGCTCTGTTTACGGACTCAACACTCAAAACCCGTTTTCCGAATCTCACAGGACAGACCAGCCGGCTAGCCTGTACGCCGCCACGAAAAAAGCCGGCGAGGAAATCGCTCACACCTACAACCACATCTACGGGCTTTCAATTACGGGGCTCCGATTCTTCACCGTATACGGACCCTGGGGAAGACCCGACATGGCGTACTTTTTCTTCACCAAAGATATTCTCCAAGGAAAACCCATTAACATCTATGAAGCTCACGATCACGACGGCGCTGCGGTTGCGCGTGACTTCACGTACATCGACGACGTCGTAAAAGGGTGTCTAGGAGCGATCGACACCGCCAAAAAGAGCACCGGAAGCGGCGGAAAGAAGCGCTCGCCGGCGCAGCTGAGGATCTACAACCTCGGCAATACATCGCCGGTGCCGGTGAAAAATCTGGTGTCGATTTTGGAATCGCTGTTGAACGTGCAGGCCAAGAAACATGTGATCAAGATGCCTAGAAACGGCGACGTTCCGTTCACACACGCTAACGTGAGCCTGGCGTACAGGGACTTCGCGTACAAGCCGACCACCGACTTGGCTACAGGGTTGAGAAAGTTCGTCAAGTGGTACGTTAGTTATTATGGGATTGAGTCGAGGGTAAAAAAGGAAATACACAGCTCCACCAATAATGATAAAGCATGATCATCACATTATGTCCAACACATCATCACATGGGTATTTTTATTTTTTGTTTTAAGTTATTGTTGTGGTGCTCCTGTGATGTATTGGATCAAAAAAATTTGATGTTAATGTTGTAAGATAGATATACAGATTTTTATATACACCATATAGAGGGATTTGGGAAGAGTTGGATAAGTGTAGAGATCTCTGAGATTGGGGGGAGGTGTAATAATGTACTTGTGAGGTGTAAGGAAGAAGGTTGAGTTTCTGCTCAAAACAAGGGGCAGATCAACCGTTGGATTTGTAATCATCATTTGTGATTGAATTGAACAACAATGAATCACATCCAGATTCTGCTTATCATATGTGCTTTTCATTTTATTTTTTAAAGTAATTAATCTATTTATGCATTGGACCTTCCTTTATTCCTGTTTGGTTAGTTTTGCCCCTTTTTTTTCCCTATAATTTTTTATTTAATTAATTACTTAATCAATTATTTGTGTTGTTATGGAGGTAGCTTGGGTATGAGATGATGAGATCTTTATATACTTTTTCAAGATGCAATCATCAATGATGAAGGGGCTGTCTGCAAAACTGTTATTTAAGGAATCAAACTACGGCTAGCGTGTTTATTTGGGTTAAAATAATTATATAGGATAAAATTAATTATTTTAATTAAATAAGATAAAATGATATATTTAAATTATAATTATTTTATTTTATTTTTACAAAAGTTAAAAAAGTTAAAAAGTATATTCTAAACGTGCTTTTTTTAGTTCCAAATTAAAATAGTTAAAAAATTTAAAAGTTAAGAAATCAACTCATATTCCAAATGAGGCCTACATTAAAGTGGGTCAAAATTTTGGAGGTAAATTTAGGATCATATGCTATGCTATAATTAAAAGTAGACAAAATAGATAATATTTATACTTTCTTTTTTTTTTTTTTTGGTAGTCATCCTAACTTTTTCCTTTTTACTGTTTTATTATAATTTTATTTAAAAATTAATACATTTGACAAATGTTGAAAAAAGTTATTTTTTGTTATTCGAAAAGTTTGTAAGATTTAAAATTTTATTTTTGTCTTTAAAATTTTTTATTTAAAAAAAATACTAGAATGAAAGAAATTAAAATATTTTTTTAAAATATCACTAAAAACAGAAGGTTTGAAAAAAAAAAAATGTGTTAACAAATTAATTTTCCCCTTTTGTTAGATACATTAGTCAAAATGAAAGAATCAGTTTTTTTCCCTTTTTTTCTTAAATAGTCAAAAAATAGCTTTTAAGCAAAAATTAAAAATTAAAAAATTAAACAAGGCTAGTTCACTATATTTTTGCTTAATTGATAGCATTATGGTTGTCTCATATATAAATATGGGTCAATTACCTTTGCGCTCTTTAGTTTAGTCATTTGCTTACTTTGACCTTTAAAGTTTTTTTTTTTTTTTCATTTTCTTCTTTCATGTTTTAATTTTTTCTTAATTTACTCCTAATGTTATAAATTAGACAGAAATGATACACTGACAGTCACGTGGTATAAAAATATTTTATTATATATAACTCACATATGACAAAACCTTAAACCAATATAATATATTTTTTATATTATGTGATAGTTATTATGACATTTTTTGTCTAATTTTGAACAAAGGTTAATTTTAGGAGTAAACTGAAAAGAACTTAAAATATAAAAGGGTCAAAGTGGAAAAAAATAAATTTAAAGAGCCAAAATAAGAAAGTGGTCAAATATAACGGGGCAAAGTGTAATTTACCTTTTACTTTTTCTGTATTTAGTTGTTGGATTTAAAGTAAAAAGCAAAAGAAACTAGTTTTCCTCTTCTTTGAATGGGATAGAAAAACCAGAAGAAAATAAATAGATAGGTACACACACAAAGAAAAAAAGAAAAGAAAAAGGCATTCTTTAGTTTAATTACTCATAAAGATAATAAATGTATGCAAATTATTTTTCTTACATTTTACTTTTATTTAACAAATTTAAAATCCAAATATAATTTATAATTATGTACTAAAAACCATTAGTTATCGATCCAAAACCATTTCATCATTATTTTTATTTATTCTCTTGATTTATTTTCCTTTCCAACGTTACTTGTCTAAAGTTGTCTCACAATATTCTTAATCACATCAATACATATGTCCTAGATGTCTCTTTCTATTAAGACCAAATGTATTATCTCTTTCAAAATAAACCTTATTATATTGGCTTTTTTCTAAGAAGATGATAACCCCATTTTAAGTCTTTTATCATCTAATCTAAATATTAGCTTTCATCATTGTTCTTCGTTGTTATGAAAACAAATTCATTAGCTTGTGTTGACTTAGATACATTTTAATGAATGCAAAATGAGGTCTTCTGAAGCTTTGATATTTTTTCAAATTAACTTATCCATTTAGGCCTCGTTTGGAAACTTTCTTTTTTAGTCAAAAAGTAAAAAAGTTACTAAATTAGCCAAAAAACCAACAACCCATACCAAAAAGTCAAAGATTATCTTTTCTCTCTACTTTTTGCAGATCTTCTCGTAAAAAGTCATCCCAAACATACTAGTTTTTTTTAACTCATATTTTAACCAAATAATTAAAAAGTTACTAAATTAGTCTGTTCTCAAAAAAGGCCTTAGGTCTTAATTACATTCATATAAAGGTAGGGGTGTTGCTTCGGGAGACCTAATCTAAGCAACCTAATTCTAAATTTTTTAGGACTTAAGTAATTTTTTATTTCAATGTGGGTTTTTAGCAGAAACATCAATGTTAAAAACACTAATAAATTTACTAACAAACATACTTACGGGGGAAAGCTTTAACCAAATATTTGTATATAGATCTCACAAAGGAAAATTGTACATACACACACACCAAAAAAAAAAAAGAAAAAGGTATACACAAAATTTGCCCTAAATAATGAGTGATATTTTTAAAATATAAGACATAATATAATGGGTGTTTTAGCTACAAAAGAGAGGCAATGTTTTTTTAGCAATTTGTGGTTGGTTTTTGTCATTTTTAGAGACTTTTAAAAAATATATATATGAATTTTTTTTAGGTCCTTCTACTATAAAAAACAAAACAAAAAAAGTTAGGCCAAATTCTAAAAATAAAAAAATTCACAAGAAAAAAATTTCTTGGGTTTATTTGACCCCATTTTTTTAATACTTAACATTTCTCCAAGACAGAGCAGTTTCCAAAAAGTGCAATGATTCGAAAAAAAAGGAGGTTCCCCTTCCTATAAAAAATAATAAAGACTGCCCATTGTGTTTGAAATTTCGAAATAACAATGGTTTACATCACTAAAAAAATGTATCATTAATAGCATTAATATATTAGAAATAGTAAAAACAATAATAAAAAAATAAAAATAAGGCATAAAAAGTAAACGAGACCCACTACCACATCATTAGTGTTCTCTTTAGTGATCCCTTCTTAATACTCCTAAATATTTTTCATTTCGAAATGGTGTATTACTAGTACCTATTAAATGTTACACTAGTTAAAGCAGTGATGCCAATAGTCTAAACAGTAAAAAAATATTAGATTGATATTGATATTATCTACGTTGTATTTTCACAAATAAAAAATTGTAACATATATTGAGTAATTTTTTATCTCTTAATTATTTAAAAAAGTTGAGTCAGTATATTCAATTTGTAAATTTTTTTTATTACATGACTAGTTTGAAATACTACATTAACAATATCATATAATATTTCAAAATTACTAAATAATTATCTATTAGATAGAATATGGTGGAACTTAAAATAATTTATATTGATTGATCATTGACTATACAGGCTTGAGAAAATTCTGGATCAATCCTATGCCATTGTTGGGTACATTTTCTTCGCAAACACATCATCGTCATCATCACTTGCATTAATGACTCAAAGTTTTCTCTCTTTTTATTTTGGAGGAGGGAAGTGCGCATTCTAATCCAGGCTCAATCTGATGGACCTTTATGTGGTGTACTTAACTAGTTACATAAATAAGGTGAAGTCATGTCATATGCATTAATTTGTGTGCATATAGTGCACTATGTAATAGCTAGTGAAGATCTCACCTAAAATGTACACATTTCTTGGAGGAGGAGGATGAGAGAATGAAAAATTATTTACAATAAAAATGATTCTTTTTTTTTTTTTTTTAATGTTCATAGAATTTAGCATGTTTTCACAATTATTTTTCATTTTTTAAATAAAAATAGACATAAAAGTGCTTGTTCTGAAAAATATACAAGCATTTGAAACTTTGTCAACTATTTTACACTTAAAGGCACATTATGGGACAAGACCCATATGATTTTCTCTTTTTTAAGACAAAATAAATTTTAAACATTCAAAAATATCAATATTACTATTTATTTTTTAAAAAATAAATTCTATTTTTTTAAAAAAATAAATTTTAAAACTCAAACCAATGATTAGATATATTTTTTGAAAATTGCAAAAATGGGACGGGTGATTTTTTTTTTTTTGCGCGCAAATCTCACACACACACACGCGAAACACAAAAGAATTTATATTACACATACAGAAAACTTGCGCCACTAAAAAAACAAAATTATCCTTCCATTCTTTCAATGCAATACAATTTCCCCTATATTCTTTCACAAAGAGGCAGAGTATTTTTTTCTAAGAAAAAGTGAGTGTGTTCTTTCTGATCCAGGCTCTTGGCTCTGTGATTTTATTTATTTATTTATTTATTTTGGTATTTTAAAAAGTGAGTTAAAAGTTATATTTCAATTTTTAATTCCATTTTAAATTACATTATTTCTCACATTTTTTTACATATTTTTTTCAAAAAAAATTAAAAAAACCCAAAAAATTAATTTTTAACCATCTTTTCAAAACACACTCCTTGAGATTTGCAACTAATATAATTTCCCCCCCAAGGTTTGCAACCAATTGCCCCCTCTGTGACTATTAAGTCAACACACAATATTTGCTTATGTCAGTAATAATTCTTTTTAAAATACCATATTTACCTTGATCTTTTATCCATCATTTTCTTTTTCATTCCTTCCGTACCACTTTGTATTACATAAACCAACCACAACCTTACAATACTTTAATTACCCTACTTTAACAATATCAACTATTTAATAGTCTCTAAAAAAGAAAGAAAAATCTAAAATATTGCACCTCACTCAACATTGGCTCGACATACATTCAAAAATAAAAAAATTCTATAGTCCCATAAATGGAATCAAAAAAAAAAAAAAAAAATCAAGAATATCAAATCATGTCACCGCTGCCACCACCATCACTACCATACCACCGCCACCATCACTACCATGCTACCACCACCATCACCGCCATGCCACCACTACCATTACCACCATCGCCGCCGCTGCCGCTGCCACCGCCACCACCACCACTACCATCACTTTCATCACCATTGTCATTATTACCATAAACACCACAATCATTTTAAATTAATTTGATAAAAATAAATATTTTGAATTTTTAAAATTATTTCTATCCCAAAAATAAGAATCACATGAAATGAATATTTTTATTTTTTTGCATCTTTTTCATCAAATTAGATTTTAAGTTTGAACATCCGACTTTTTCCAATAGAGGTTATTTAATATTTGCCTAAAACATTGGGAAAAATTATATTATGGATCTGGAACAGTACATCAGTTGTGTGACTTACCAATAGGGTGCAAAATTAGGAAAATTATTAGATATTTTAGGAGTATTATGTGGCATTATCTATGTACTATGTCAATCAGAAATCGCAATACACACCGGTGTCAAAAATGGCTAAATAGTAGTTAAAGATAACTCATTTAGTGTGCGTTGGCTAGTTATTGCCATATTTTAACAATGAATAGTGTTAAAATATTATATTTTATCAATGTTGTTTCAATAATCTAAATATTGTTTATTCTATATTTGTTTCAAAATATTAAATAAAAATACTATATGTGAGTTCTATCATTAATAAATTAAAAAAAAGGTAGAAATAAAAGAGTGTCAAAACACACTCCTTGAGATTTGCAACTAATATAATTTCCCCCCCAAGGTTTGCAACCAATTGCCCCCTCTGTGACTATTAAGTCAACACACAATATTTGCTTATGTCAGTAATAATTCTTTTTAAAATACCATATTTACCTTGATTTTTCATCCATCATTTTCTTTTTCATTCCTTCCGTACCACTTTGTATTACATAAACCAACCACAACCTTACAATACTTTAATTACCCTACTTTAACAATATCAACTATTTAATAGTCTCTAAAAAAGAAAGAAAAATCTAAAATATTGCACATCACTCAACATTGGCTCGACATACATTCAAAAATAAAAAATTCTATAGTTCTATAAATGGAATAAAAAAAAAATTAAGAATATCAAATCATGTCACCGCTGCCACCACCATCACTACCATACCACCGCCACCATCACTACCATGCTACCACCACCATCACCGCCATGCCCCCACTACCATTACCACCATCGCCGCCGCTGCCACCGCCACCACCACCACTACCATCACTTTCATCACCATTGTCATTATTGCCATAAACACCACAATCATTTTACTATCACTATCATTACTATCTCCATCACCGCTATCACTACTGCCACTTCCACTTCCACTGCCACTGCCACTGCCACTGCCACCGCCACCACTACCACTACCACACCTACCACCATCACAATATAAAAATTACAATGTACAATTTGAAAAAAAATAAATTTCAAATTTGATTTAATATATATCAAACAATTTATTTTTAATTCTGCATTTAAATTTTTATCAAACAGTTTTTAGTTTGACAAATTAAGCATTCAGTTTTCAATTCTTATTTTCCAGTCTTTAGTTTTCAGTTTTCAATTTTATCAAACACTACTTAAGTATTATGAGTCCATACATTAACTAAATCTATACCACTGATATTAAATTTCGCATATTTTCTTCGTCTTTCTTCTTTATGGGATTACAAAGGTAAGTCACCGATATAAACCCATAGTGTGGTGTTAAGAGGGTCGTTGTGCTAGTAACTTGTGAGTAAAAAAGAAAAATGACGGGGGGAGAAATGATGGTAATTTCATAAATTAATAGCTTTAATGGAAGGTATTAATGTCATTACACTTTTTTATTAATTCTGTTAAAAAATAAACATTAACATAGAGGAAAGTATAATTTCTTAAATATTTGGAAAGAATATATAGGTCTCGTTTGGGAAGTGACTATTTTAGTAGGCTATTTTAATTTTTGGCTATTTTAATAGGCTAAAATTTTTGTGTTTGGGAAGATGATTAGATTTTTTTGTGGTTGGATGTGATATTTGTAAGAGAAAAAGTGAAATGATTATAGATTTGATGTGATATTTTGTCTTATTAACTATTTTAGCCTATTTTGTTTTTTTGTGATTTTTAGCCTAAACTAGGCTATTTTTTTTCTTCCCAAACACCCCTATGTTAAATAGAAATTTAGGGTTGGATTGGAATGTTCTAAAAAAGTACACTTTTTGACTTATTAGCTTATATGGGTTGGGCTTGGGTTAGGTTTGATATGATGTATTAGAGAAGTAATGTGATTTAAATAAGATGATGTGACTTAAATAGGATAGTGACTTTTTATATTATTTAGGTCATATTAAACTTGGCCTTAATGTAATTTATTTATTTATTTATTTATTATTTTTTTTTAGACGGTTTGGCTCTGTGATTAATAATGCCACAACTCAGATAGTACCTATGGTATGATGGCAAAAGTTCTTACATAAATATAAATGCAATTCAATTGAGAAATCTTTCGAGCACTAAAAATGAAGCATTAGAATGAACATTAATGATGTGACAGTAGATTTTGTTCATTTTTTATGTCTTGTTTTTTTTTTTTTTTTACCATTCCCAATGAATTAGTGCTATTAGTGATGTATTTTTTAATGGTCTAAATCATTGTTGGCATCCAATTTTATGTAACAAAAAATAAAATTAAATAGAAAAAAAAAAGAAGAGAAAAAGCTGACAAATATCGTTGCACGATTGGTGTTGCAGTGACATTCTGGTATGCTTTCCATTGATGTGATACAACAGCTATACACCTTTCCAGAAACAACCAGCTAATTAATAAAGGGATTGCATTCACTTTATTTTGTTTCAATTTTTAAAAAATTAATTTTTTTTTATTTTTTATGTTTTTTATTTTTATTTTAATATTTTAATATTTAAATACATTTAATATAAATACAATTGAAAGTATATTATTTGTGAAACTTTTTTTTTTAAAAAAAAAACTTACTAAATATTAAAAATATATATTTTTGTATTCTTGTGTGTTTATTAATTTTTTTTCTAATATTTTATTTTTTAGATATATTTAGATTAGGTGTTTTTAGAAAGTAAAAAAAATTCTTAAAATATTAAAAAAAATTCATTAAAAACAAAAAAAAAATGAAAAACGAAATACGCAATTTTTAGAAAATTAAATCAAACATGGTGAATGTCTTTTTGCCCAAAACAAAAATTAAAATATTTTTTTATTTCTGTAAAGAAAAATTACAAATAAATGAAATCTTGATGAGAAAATACATGTACACAAGCAAGGCACATCAACTGGTAAACCATGTGAACTCACTTGCAGTAATAATTTAGGAGGCTAGTTAATTAATTAAACTGATAGAGATTTGTTTTGGGAATTCTATTTCCAGCAAATTAGAGTAATTAAAGCCTTTAATCTATGTGCCCTTATAATAATAATCTCCGAATCTGTGATGTTGACCAAGGTTTTGAAAATCGGATCAGAATGGCCGGTTCGACCGGTTGGACCGTCGATCGGTCGGGGTTCTGGTCCGGATATACCCTCTCAACCGGCCAAAACTCAGAACCGGCGTTTTTAGTGAGAACCGGAAAAACCGGCGATTGAACCGGCGAACCGGTCGACCCGGAGCCGGTTCGCCGGGTTGTCCGGCTCGTTTTTTTTTTTTTTTTCAATTTTTTTGTTTCTTTCTTTTCTTTCTTTCTTCCTTATTTTATATTGTTAAAATATAAGAAAAATTGTAAATTAGTAGTATCTTTACAAAATATTTACAAATTTATAAAAAAAAATTAATAAAATTATAACTTTAAGTATTAAAATTGATTATAATACACTAGTTATAAGTAACACTATATTTTCAATTCTGATTTTTCATAAGGTCAATTGTAAAAATCAAAAATTTAAAAATTTTATATTAAATATTTAAGATTTTGTATTATATTTTTCAGTAAAAAAAATATTAGGACAAATATTTAAGATAATTTAATATTTTTAATATTTTTAATTTATAATTTTATTACATATATTTTTATTTAACTATAATTTTAATATATTTATTACGTCACGGTTCGATTCCGGTTCAACCCGACGGTTGAACCAGTGACCCGTCCAACCGATTCCTTTTCTAGTTCGTTCACTGGTCCGATTTTTAAAACATTGATGCTGACCATATAATTAAGAATTTTGATCTTCTATTGTGAATTCCAAGCTTCTTTTTTTTTTTTTTTTTTTTTTAATGACCTCCAACAAAAAAAATAGATGTTAATATTTCTCTAACTTTGGGGTATGACAAAAAGATGCGCAACCCTTTTCTTTCCACTTGTCTGAAGAAAAATTTCCTTTAAACAATGGACTGCAAAATATCTATTTAGTCTAAAATAATTTTAAAAATAATTTTTTATACATATATAAAAAAGGTTCACTAAAAATAAAATAAAATAAGCTAAAAAGGTTACTTCCTTGTTTTTTTCTGGATTTTTTTTGTCACTAGTGAGTTTTTTTTTTTTTTTTTACTTATAATTTTTAGGTCATAGACCTAAAAGTATAATTTTTTTTTAAAAAAAAAAATCACTAAATATGGAAAAAAAATAGCAAAAAAGTTGTTTAAAAAAATAATTTCTAAACTCCACCCTAATGTAATAACTATATGGTGTGAATTAATGGGACTAGCTTCTTTGTCAAAACTACTTGTAACTTATTAGGAGATTAGTGATTTAATTTTTATTTATTTTTATTTTTATTATTATTAATTTTGTTTACGTAGTTCAATATTTCATCATGTGTAAACTTGAAGAATACAAATGTTTTAGCATTATTGATAAGTGTATAGGAGTGATCAACTAATCTAACTTAATTTTTCTAAATACACTAATTTTAATAATAATTTTATTATTAATAATAAAATTTTTACTTTTAATTTTTGCTATTCAAAACATAGGGGCATTGCAAAGTCAAAAGGGGAGCTTTCGGCCCGACAAAATATGTCTATAAAAGAGTGAAAATCATTGCAAAAGAGAAAGGAGCTATCAAAACGACGCAGATGCTTTGATCATCTCATTCTTTTTTTTAATTATAATGGGAAAATGATATACAAACTTATTTTAAATTTGTTTTAGAAAGTAGGAAAAAAATTAATTTATTGATTTTTTATATTTAAAAAAAATGAAAAATGTAAAGAGGTGATGTGTCAAAATAAATTAATAAGTCAATAAGTTTTTTTCTTCCTTCCCAATTTATTTTCTAGACTCAATGATGTGTAAGTGATATAGAATATATAAGAGAGAGTGTTGTATTTAATATCTTAGTTGATTACCACATTATTAAACTTAAAAATTAAATCTATTCTTTTGTCTTAAACAATAATGCGCATTACAATCACCCTTAAGAGAAAATTCCATATATAGAGAGTGAGGGAGGGACTCATCAATTCCAAATAAGATGGAGTGTGTGTTTTAGCCAATAATTGTATCATTCATAAATTGAATTGAATAAATTGTTTAAATTTAATTTAAAATTTTACTAAGTTTGAAAATTTATTTAACTTTCGCTGGTTTTAATGAGCTAATTTCAAATGAAATTTTAATAAGTTGAACACAAATCGAGTTCAAGTAACTTAATTTTTTATAATGCATATATGCTTACTGAATCAAATAGTAGGCTGCTTAAATTTTACATGAAAACTTAATGAGATTTAAAATGTGATCAAATTTGGCTTGGTTATATAAAGAATTGACCTCAAGTAAACTTTTACTATGTTGAATACAAGTCAAATTCAAGTGGCTCTAGAATGACGAATCATTCTAGGTTTTCCAAATTTGAAGGAATTTCTTGATGGATATTCTCAAATAGGCCTTACATATGTGTGATTTTGTTTGTGTCATAGTTTGTCACATTTTGTTTTCATTTTAATGTTATTCTAAACTAGTTGAACTAGGCAAAGAGGTGTATTATATGTAAGTTACACTCTATTGAATATACTGTAGAATAATGTTTTAATTATGACTTAAGTGGTGGTAATATTCGCTTAAGTAGTATTTAATTATGATTCAAATGATAATGTTATTTTATTTATATTTCAATGTGATCTTGAGGTTTTACCTTAAAATGGTGATAACTATGTCCAAATTTATTAAAGTATATAACATGCATTAAAAAGAATGTGCATTATAGCATAACCCGTTCAACTATTGTACCGATATGTAATCCACCTGGAAAATGTTAAAAACAA